GTGGCAGCACCCGTGCGCTTGGGCAGCGATCCTTTGTCAGGGCCCCTCAGCACCAGGAACTGAGGAAAAAACCCCGAGTTTTCGTAGGTTAATGACGTTTCAAAACGTTAATGGCGTTTCCAGGTGAAGCAAAGGGATAAACGTAGGTGTCGGGCACTTACTGTATTTTACGCGTGCCTGGGCATGACGGGCACCGCCACTGAACGCAGATCCTGCCCTTCGTACGCCAGCTCTTCCCTGCCGCATTTCTGGAAACCGAGCTGAGCGCTGATGCCTGCCCAGGGATGGTTCCTCAGTTCCACGGGGTGCATCAAACCAAAAAGTGGGAATTTAGTTCATCGTATTTGCTGAGCCAGTAAGAGAATCGACGGGAAACAATACTCCGGGTTAGGTACCCTCGGTGTGTGCAGAAGGGGGAATAGCCACTGAAAGCAGGGGACCGGGCTGTGTAATTGCTGAGAGTTTCTGTTTTGGGGGGATAGACCCTTCAGTTTTGGAGTGGATGTGCTGCTGGAGCGTGTCCAGAGAAGGGCTACGAAGCTGGTGAAGGGTCTAGAGCACAAGCCTTATGAGGAGCGGCTGAGGGAGCTGGGGTGGTTTAGTCTGGAGAAGAGGAGGCTGAGGGGAGACCTTATTGCTCTCTACAACTACCTGAAAGGAGGTTGTAGCGAGGTGGGGGTCGGTCTCTTCTCCCAAGTAACGAGTGATAGGACGAGAGGAAATGGCCTCAGGCTGCTCCAGGGGAAGTTTAGGTTGGATATTAGGAAAAACTTCTTCACCGAAAGGGCAGTCAGGCACTGGACCAGGCTGCCCAGGGAAGTGGTTGAGTCTCCATCCCTGGAGGTATTTAAAGGACGGATAGCCGTGGTGCTTGAGGACATGGTATAGTGATGGACTTGGCAGTGCTGGGTTAACGGTTGGACTTGATGATCTTAAGGGTCTTTTCCAACCTTAACGATTTTATGATTCTATGATAATCCATGAAGGTAGGAAAAGCTGTAGAAACATAGCAGTGTACAAGATGAGTGGATTTGTGGAGGCGAATAGAGTGGGTGGTGACTGCGTGAGGCCAGCAGAAAAGTTATTTTCCATGGAGCTGCCACAAAAAAATCTGGGAAACGTAAAATTGGAATTTAATTTACATTGAAAGGCAAGATGCAGAGTTGTAACTGTTAGATCACTCTCCTTGTGAAACAGAGCAGTTGAGTTTGACAGAAGAGCAAGTAGGAGCCTGCCACAAGAAAGCAGGTGTCAAAAAATTCTCTGTAGAAGACTCTCCAGCTGCTTCACACTCATCTTCCCGCTCCGCTCTGCTAAACCTACTGCCAAGAACAAACTGGTGAGCAGCAAGACCAAGTTTATCCACTCTTTAGTCATGGTTGAAAGCCAACGACAAGGTTGTAATTTTGATGCCATAGGTCTCTTGTGACAGCTTTGTTGTTGCACTTCCATTCCCTGGGATTATAGTGTTGATAAGATTATCCTTATCCACAAATGATGCTTCAGCAAAAGCTCGGGATCTGAGTGACTTGTAGCACAGGAGGCTTTTGTTGGAAGGGGAGCTCCCCTTTAAGTAGGGAGACATTAGTTCTGTCTCCCTCTGACATCACCTGTAATTTTACATTGTAGATACAGCTATTACTCTGGAATTTTATATGCTTTATAGGTGGAGCCCAAACAAACATCTCGCGTGGCAACACACATGTTTTCTAGAAGAATAATGAAATCACTCAGAACGATAATGCTTCAATTCCATCACTAGATGAGATGTGAAAAATATAGAGAATTTAAAAAAATGTTTGTTCACAAATGCTGATTTGTTAACCTTTTATGGGATGTTGAGTATTGAAGAACATGGGAGCTGCTCTTGGCTCAGATTTGATAAAAGCAGAAGACAAATTTCTCTCTTAAATTTTGAGACTGGGGGCAAACCAGAGCAGTTACGAGTAAACATGTTGCAGTAGCACTCTCGCATTGTCTTCCAGTACATAATCAAGCAAGTCACTCAAATAGTTATATAATAATTTCCTATATGGTGTTTAATAGAAAGGGTGCTTCAAAATTGTGTTTATGGTCTCAACAAGGGGCTGATGAGAGATAGCCGGTGGCAAAAATAGAAGTTCTGTCCTGTTGTAGTCCTTTGATGTTATACTGGCAGTACAGAGGGATGCATTTACCATGTTGGACTCACATCATGTGGTCCAAAAACCGGGGTCAGGATTCAGTGATCAGGGTTCATTCTTTCCTTAAGAAATGTTGGAGGCAGTGTACAAGTGAACTGTGGGAGCAGGAACTGAAAGCTGGTTGAGCACCCTTCCTACCAGAAAAAGCCATGCTGCTTCTATTTTTTTTCTCAGTCGGTCAATCATTTATTCTTTCTTCACTCTGGCTTGGATTCAACTGGAATGATGTTGAATTAGCTTGTACCCCAGCCACCCAGCTAGCTGGCGTAAAGTGAACTCACTCCTTGTGTACCCAACTACTTTCATATGTCCTCAGTCAAATCTGTACTGTTAATACCTGTTTTGTAGGTTTTAAAAAAAATACTTTTGGACATGTAAGTATTTTAATTTCTATTGAACTTAAAATCAGAAATGAGTAAGTTACTATGTTCATTTATAGTGTAGTCTGTGAGCAAACAAGGTTAAATGTAGTGGTCTTCCAGCCAGCAAATAGTTTTCTGTTACATAAAAATAGGGATGGAGGAAGAGGAATCTGCGATATTACATTGTTTACGCTGATCAATGTAACATCCCATTAATATTAGGAGAAAATTCTGAAAATGCTGAATAATGTAGGACATCATAGACTCAATTCTCATTTGATGGGGATTCCACCACCGATGAATACTTTTTTGTCATGTCAGTTGATGACATCATTCATGTCATATGTGCTCCATTATGAAGAGCTTTATTTTTTAATCAAAATGTCAAGTGGTGGACATAAAGTCCGAAAAGTCTGGACTTGTTGTACTTTATGATCTTGGCATGGACTGTGGCAATTATGATTTTTTTCTTGTAGGTACTTGTTCTGGTGTTGGAGCAGAAAAATTTACTCATTAAACAAGTAGTAACCTGATTGAGACAAATAAAAGCTGTATTCAGTTATGGATTACTGAACCTGACTGCAAAGTTTAAATCTCTGGCTAATGCTCAAGAATCTTAAAATCAGCCAGCGATGCTGGAGTGCTCTTGCATTCCAGAGAAACCACTACCCGCTTTCAGGCCGGCAGGGTCAGCTGTAGGAACAGACTAAGTAGGGAGCTGCATGTGGCAAACGTATCACTAGGGCCATGGAGCCCACTTGGCCTTTGCCAGGGCTGGAAAATCTGAAAGAAGGGTGTGTTGGCATGGTTGTGTGGATGAGGAGCAAAGAGCTGCTTTTCTCAGTGCTGCCAGTAGTGCCAAACGTCCCAGGCACCTCCAGCCCTTGGGAAGGAGCCAAGGGTGCCCAGGTTTTGCCTACCGGCTCGTCATCTAGCTCAGCTGCTCACTCCACTGTTCGTTCCCCTCGCTGCCGGCTGCTGCCAAACTGAGAGGGACCAGAAGCCCAGGCTGGACTCTCTGCAGAGGATCAGGAGAGCCCAGACCTCTGGTAGCAGTCTTCTTGGCTAACAATGCTGAAAATACTTAGCACTTGCCCTCTTTTGAGCTGCTAAAAAGTAAGCCATACTTATACAGAGAAATCGTCTGATAAATAGCTTTGACAGTGAATGCGCTCTATGTTGCATGGATCCTGAGGCTTCCTTGGACTCCAGCCCTTGTCCTTTCAGCCCCTGTTATCTGGCTGTATAAAAAACATCCATAAATACATAGGATAATCTCATCACCCTTTACAGGCAGTAGGGGATGGCAATTGCCAGCAGCTATCTTAGCATGACAGAGAGAGACTAAATGTTTGACTCGGTGCCATACCCCTATAGGCATCCGGTATATCTACAGAAAACTTTTTTCCTAAATTGAGAAACTTTCATGATTAGAGAAATTAGAGCTGTTTTTTTTTTTTCTCCTCCATGCAGGACATGATAGGTAGAAAAGAATCCTGCAGTTCAGGACAGATACTGATGACCGACCTAAGCTGCCTTGCCTATGTACTGGAAGAATGGACTCTTGTGGAATACTTGAAGAAATACCTTTTTCATGTGGTCATCGCCTCACTGACAATGAGTGCAATATTATTTTTTTTTATAGTTCCTTTAACAATGCTCTTTTTCATTTACCTTTCTAATATATTGCTTTTAATATATCAGAGGAACAGTGACGTAAAAGGAGATCCCTTGAGTGATGTTTGGGATAGTGCAAGGAAAACTATAGCAAGCTTTTGGGATATATATGCAAGAATATGGCATGGTAAGTATGACATGACTTGTCTGAAGCTTTGAATTACAATAAATAGTAAATACACATAAGTTTTAATTTATTTTTTTTTATTTCTTCCAAGTGGATGCAAAGAAATCAAATCACATTTATTATACTTTGTATGGCATCTAACCCAAAAGTTTCTGCCTCAAAGACTGATTGCAATATAGAATAAGCAGAATGAAAGGGACAAATTAGTTTATATAGGGTAAATTTCTCTTAAGTGGATAGGCAGGTGCAGTTCTCTGTATATGGTATCAAAGTGAAGCGGAGTGTTAATGTTAGTTCTAGTAAGGTAACTGCAAGGGAGATGTGTGATTTATTTTTTACCTTAGTCGCCATTTAAAACGCACTTAATAAATGATCAAAACACAATGACTAGTTGGAAATGTAATTAGTTGGCAAAAACGACTTTGTATTATGACAATTGAAAATAATTTTAAGAGCTGTATGGATGAAGAAATAATTAGATACCACGTTTAAGTTGGTACTGTGGGAGAATTTAAAAGTAACCTCATTTTTCAGTTTCATTACACTCGATCTACGGATACTTTCAACACACCCTGCTACCTAGGAAAATCCTCAGCTGCATGCTAAGCACTTGTTCTTCCCACAGTTATAGTTTAAGGCTATCAGCAAGACTTAACTTTGCTGCTCTAAGGATGAACAATAACAGGTTGTTATCTGTGTTGCTATCCTTCCTCACAGCTTTTTCCCTTAATCTTTGAACATCCTGCAGTATAAAACTTTCTCCACCTCTTCCTAGGGCTCTGCCTGCTCCATCCCTGTCCTTCTCCCTGAACGGCTCATGACAGGTGCTGTAGCAGGGATGGAAATGAAGGCAGACAAGGAGGAATAGAGCTCTTAGTTGACAGAAGCTGTGGCTTTTGCAAGCCTCCTTCTCTGGCTCCACCTAAAACCCAAATCAAATGTAGGAAGAGCCAGGAGAGGGATTTACAGAAGTCCATGTCTGTGAGGAAATTCACTTCCACTGTGAAGTGAATACATTTAACCCTCATGGAGAGAACTTATCTTTGGGATTCTTATGGATTCTGGTTTGGACTTAAACATCTCAACCAGAGAAACTTTTTATTATGTAAAATCCCAAACTTTTAATTCTGCCTGACATAGGATGGAGATTCATACTTCTGTATTTCAGGAAAGCATCCTGACTGTTTTTTTGCCTCTCGTTAGAATCATAGAATCATAACATGGTTTGGGTTGGAACTGACCTTAAAGATCATCTGGTTCCAACTCCCTCTGCCAAGGGCAGAGACACCTTCCACTAGACCGGGTTGCTCAAAGCCCCATCCAGCCTGGCCTTGAACACTTCCAGGGATGGGGCATCCACAGCTTCTCTGGGCAACCTGTTCCAGTGCCTCACCACCCTCATTCTGCCAATGAAGTGGTTTCACACCAGTATAGTAATTTATTTTTTATTATTGTACTTTGGACTGGGAAAAGTTCCTAATGGGAAATAAATAATTTAGTCCACTCCCTGTGGAAAATGTCAGGTTCAGGTCTGATCTAGTGATTAAACTGACCAATGAGTTAGTCCACCGATAACCTGTGGTGTTTGAGGGTCTTTCTCTTTGCTATTGACCAAAAGTTCCATCCAGAACTTAATTCTTTTAAAAGCTACTGCAGAGGCTTTCACAACTCTCTAAAAGTCATTTAACAAAGGGCAATAAACAGTTTTCTTTAAATTGCCAGCTGATTTACAGCTATCGTTGTCAGTGTATTGCTTTCCATCCCAAACAGGTTATGAGCTTCATGGTGTGGAAAACCTACCAGAAGGACCAGGCATTCTTGTGTATTACCATGGAGCTATTCCTATAGACTACCTTTACTTTTTGTCTAGGCTGTTTCTCTGGAAGAAAAGACTTTGTCTGTCAGTAGCTGATCATTTTGTCTTTCGTTTACCAGGTAAGAACATGTTCTCTTGTATTTAAGCATCCTGGATTCACTCAACCTGTTAGTGGCTTTGGTGAAATTTACATTTATTGCCTTTCAAGAGAGCTTTTAAACTAAAAGACTGCTTTTAGACTTTTAAACTAAAAGCTGGTAGATGTAGAAGGGCAAACAGGGTAGAATATCTTGTCTTTTAAGTGAAAGGTCCTAAAAACACTGGTAGACCCTCCAAAGTGAACAAATAGACATTATATAATCCTGTTAGGCTGAAATGTCAGGCCTCAGTAGAAAGTGTAGGATAGGGCTATGTTATTGACATAATGCTGGCTGGTCAGCAATGGGCTGTGAGTGCAGAAGAGCCCAGTAAATGGTAGGATATCAATTACCTACTTGCCCTCTACACTGAGTAGCCATTGCAGTGGGGTATGACATCAAATCTATCTTTTGATCAAAGGCTGGAATAGGGCACAAAACTTGTTTGAAGATTTTACTGTTGAAGAGAACTCCGTAATACTGACTGCCACAACACATTCAACACCTTGTAGACTGAGAAAGAAAGAAATTCCATTGTGAAAAGGAGAAGATACAGAAAAGAAAACTTCATTCATTTTTAGAAAAGCAAGGTATAAAGAAGGAGCATCCAGAAGGAATAGCAGGAGATTATTTAAAGGCACCTTTATGCTACTTATATTAAAAATTATCATAATACTAAAGAGTAAAGGAAGCTATTTAAAAGTAGAAGGGCATTCTTCAGAAAAGGAAGTTGTGTTCAAATACTGTAAACAAAGAGCATAAACTCAGGCAAGTTTGATGCAAGAACATATTAAGGCATCCCCAGAAAGATGGTGAGGAAGAATTTGCTAAAAGCATACTTAGTAAATACTGTTTAGTACTAAACACATCAGAAGCCTGAAGTCATCAAGAGATGCCTGGCTTTTAAGAGGACCCCTCAAGGAATATAAAGCTTAGCAGAATGTTGCAAAGGAGACTTCTTTTTTAAGGGATAAATGAGAGGGTACTGTTTCAAATTGAAGTGTCCGTAGCACAGATTTTTATTACAAATTTATAGTAAACTATTGTCAGGACCAAGCAACACTCTCAGCTATGCAATTTCCAGACTATTGATGTGTACATAACATATTGCTTGAATTATGTTCATGCTAGAGGAACAGAAGGTGGCAAATATGGTGTCAACCTATAAAACGGCTACCAAAAAGGCATCTGGTAAAAGAAGACCACAAATAGTGGAGATTAAGCCTCCCCATTTGCTGCATTAGTAGAAAATGTGGCTGAAAGTAATAGACTGAGTGAAACTTCTCCCTGACCTTCTCTTGCTCTTGATTTACCTGCTTTTTTGTACAGAAAGATTGGTTCTTTAAGGATGCTCATGAGCATATGCTGAACCTCAGTCTGTTGGATTAATTAAAGTCATGGGAGGAGTCTTCTTGTGAATGAATAACTGGTTAAAAGGTAGGAAATAAAGGGTAGAAATAAACAGCTCATTTTCACAAAGAAGCAGAATTCACCAGGTATATCAATGAAGATCAGGGCTGGCACCTATATTGTTCAAAATAATCATAATCTAGATCGGTAGTGAGGTGACAAAGCTTTATACTGGCCGTTTTTTTTCAAGGCAGTAGAAGCCCACACAGAGTACAGTTATCTACCAATACTGAATCACTGGCTGATTAAATGGCAGATGAAACCCAGTATTAGTTATAATGCAGTGCAGAAGGAAAGAAAAACAAGTCTAAACACATAAACATGTAATCAGGCTTTAAATTTTCTAGATTACTTTAAGAATATGTAGCTTAGGTCTCAGCAGTCGCCAAAAGGCAAACAGAATTTTAGGCTTATCATGAAAAAAAAAAGAAACAGAAAATACTATCATGTACTCAAAATGTGTATGGTGCCCACATCTTGAGTACCACATGGAATTCTGGTCTCCCCATCTCAGAAAAGGTGCAAAGTAATAAAGACACAAAAAAAAGGACAAGGATGATCAGAGGACAGAAGTCTTGCATGACTGAGGGATATAAAATTCTGCGTGACCTGGAAAAGGGGAATAAGAAGTGATAATATGTTCATCATAATTCTTATCAGGCAAAAGTTTTAAAGCCAAGCAAAGTAGCTATTCACTTAATAAGGATATGGCATTCATGGCTGCAGGATAAAACGGGAATACATGAGAGTTTACAAAGGGATTAAACAAAGTCAACATCTGTCTTTGACAGAAACATCTATCAAACATGATGTCTTGAATAAGATTAACTACAATTCAATTACAAGATGCAGCACTGTGTTTTCCACTGTCTTCCAAAGTTTCTGATGCAGACCTTTGTCAAAGCTGCAGTGCTAGACACCAGTTCTGGCAGTCCACTGTTGTTGTTTACATTTATTAATATAAACAATTTCTTTTCAAACCGTGCTGTTGGGACAGTGAATTTGAAGACTGGGGAAACTCATTTGCTGAAGCTCTCTATGGGAGTTTCAAACTGATAGATTTAAAATGTGAAGATAATATAAGAAAGCATAGAGTGCTTCTATGGTTCTCAGTCTGTCTTTTGGAGAAATCCCAGTTATGGAAACAAAGGAAGGAAATTCATTGAACTGTTCATTCAGTGCTGAAACTGCCCTGCTAACTTCTGCCGTTCACGCATCTTAAGGGTCATACAGCAGTCCAATTTGATCCACATAGTTTGCAGTTTAACCACAAAATACTCAATTTAATAACTCAAAACCTCAACATTTAAAATGTTAAACATCACATTTTAAAAGAATACTAAAAATAGTTGCCAGTCAGGTATTTATTTTTGTAGCAATCTTTATTGCACTGAAAATTCTTTTTTTTTTTTTTTTTCTATATTAAAATATTTAAGAAGGAGGAGAGAGGAATAGATATTTATTTTCAGATTTCTAGCTATGATGCACAAGTTTCAGTTGCATGGCTGGTGTTTTGATAATTATAGAAAATAGCATGTGGAGGCATTAGTTTACTGAGATGCTCCTGATAAGCTGGTTCATCTTTTGGGCATAAACACTATCACGTTTGTCATTTTGCCAATATTTACTCTGTATGGGTTTTACTTCCTTCCTACAAATTTGCCTTAGTCTAAATATATAGCTATTAGATTTTCACTTAGCTGTAATCTTGTTCCTACATGCAAGCAGTATTTGTGATATATTGTCATAATAATATGTATTCGCTACTTATTTATTGCAGGACTCAAATTGTTATTGGAAGTGACGGGTGTTATGCCAGGTAGAAGGGAGGAGTGTCTCATTGCCCTGAAGAATGGACACTTGGTGTCCATCTCACCAGGTGGAGTTAGAGAAGCACTGTTCAGTGACGAAAGTTATCAACTCATGTGGGGAAATCGAAAAGGCTTTGCTCAGGTTGCTCTAGATGCAAAAGTGGTGAGTATTATATGTTACCAATCCCAGTTTATGCTTATTGCGTACATGCTTCATTATAAAATGCAGCTTAGGAGTGTTTGTTGGAAAATCTTCCAAATAGAATAAAAGGTTTGGGAGTAAAGATTTCTTTTCCTTTTCCCATCACTTTCCTCAAGCACATTAATCCGTAGGGAGCAAGGGTTTTATGGAACTATAGCTTTTTCTTGACTGTTGCAAGGCATCCATCTCTACAGTTCCATGTCTACAGTTCCATCATGCAGGCATCCAATTTCTTGTCTTGACTGTATCTCAGGAATCTTCACTGTGGTCCTTCTCCATATTGCCATAAGGTTTCATTCTTTTTTCTCATCCTACTAGACTTATATCTTTATCTTACTTCTACATACTCAGTCATTTTCTTATGGCTCTTTAATGTATTATCTTTATCTTTCTTTCTTCTCATATATTCTGGGAGGATCCAGGATTTTGTTCTCAAGGTGTGTCTGCATCAGTGGCTGAGTTTGAATCATGTGTGCGCTTTTGAAGCAGTTTTTCCATCTCCCTCACTTACCATGATTTCATTCACATCATGGAACGTGTTGGAATACCTGAGCTGCATTCCTTTTGGCTGAAACGAAACCAGAAGTGGGACCTAATACTCTCCAGTTGCAAATGGGCATTCAGTCAACGGTACCAGACAAGAATTAGTTCTACATAAAAACAGAGCACTGAAATGTATTCGGTGTTGCTGTCAGATCCTCAGCATCCTCTAGAGATGTGCACTCCGCTAATGTACACATGGCCACAGTTTCAGTTATATTTTCCATATGGAGGATGATCTACAAATACTAACTCCTACCACTGGCTCTGACTTCTTCCATATAATTCCACATGTGAGACTGTTTCTCTGATATAGTCTCTGGGAAATAATTTTATTTGGGATGGCATAGAGCTGAAAGAGCAGCAACCCTGTCTTTTTCCTAACTGCCACTTATCATCATCATCACCACTAGAGATGAATTTTCTGTCTTAATTTAGACTTAGCATACCTAGCACTCTTCGTGTCTGACAATACTGGTACACATCCAGGCTTCATCTGTTCTGCCATGAGCTTTCAGCTGCTTTCTCGTGAATTGCACAACTGTCATTCTTCTTTACATTCTCATGAATATCTCATCAATTGCAGTGCTCTTCTTTGGCTTTCCACATAAACACAATCCTTTTCTGTTTGTATAGGAGAATCTGTACAGGTAGTTGAGTTCTTCCCATGAAACTTGAATTTCTTACCACGCCTTTCATGTTTTATGTGCAGTTAAATCTCTTTCTCGCCCCATCCAGTTTGTTGCTTCTCAAACTTTGCTTTAGTCTCTTGTGCTAAAGCTCCTACTACAAAGTACCTAAGGTTGCAAAATGCATGCTTCAGCTTAGTATTTCTTCATAACTTTATGTATCTCTGAAGTCTTGCAGGGAGATAACTAAACTAGAATAAATTTAGGGGGATTTGATTACTGAATGGATAAAGTAATTTTAGGCTGGGAGTCCTATTTCTACCTCTTTGTTTGTCTTGTTATATGGCCTTTTAAAAGTTGTGTTTTATGTGCTTCGGTCCCCTCTCCCACCCTTTTTCTCAAAAACCACGGGCTGGTAAATATTAGTCAAAATACTTAATATATTGTGTGGGCCTGTAAACCACCACTACTAGGAAAATATCAGAATGCGAATAGGATAAACCCAGTCAAATTCATATGGGCATTTTGAATTCACTTGTAGTCTTTCTTCTTCTTTATTAATTTAATAATATACTCTAACAGTCAGAAGGAGATGTCACTTTAACAACTCGAGTGATTTCTAATAATTTTGTTTTCATATCTGTCTTCCAAGCTACCTCAAACATTTGAACAATCTTGTGCCACATATTTTCACTTTACCTGGAACCTTATACTGTAATTCTACAATGTGATACATACATTTTTTAAAATAAAAATTGAATTAAAAAAATATGAGCGCCCTTAATATAGAGTGCCATCCTTATGAAAACACATCACAAAAATCCTTGCTAGTAATCCTCATAATCCTTCCAATCTTCCATAACTTAGAAGCATGTGGAAATAGCTGAATAGTAGTACCTAAAATTGCTGGCACCTTTTAATAACAGGGTTTGGTTTGGGGTTGTTTTTGTTTAACAAATTGGGTATTCACTGAGGATAAGGTTCTTGCAGTATGAAAGGTTCTCATGGCTATTTGTATAACGTTTGGTAAAACAGGCACTATCTAGGATTATCTGTTACCCAGAGGGCACAGAGAATATTTTCTCCTTTGACACCTACTAGCCTGAGCTTACCTTTACTGTGAGTGCTGCTGGCTGTCATATCACTTATGATTGCACTCATTCAGGGCTGGTTTTTTTATGATCAGGAACTCTGACTGGATCTCAGTATAGTGGGTATCACTGTAATTAGCTTGCAGGCTCCGCGGAATTTTGGGCATCTTTGATATTTCTCTGGAAATCTGTGATCAGACACACCTTAAATAACTAAACACTTAAAAAAAAAAAAAAAAGAAGTGCTATGCATTTAACAGTAGAGGAGGCAATATTAACCTTATATACCATTTCTTATATAAAGTTAGACCCATAGTAGTAACTGGATTCCATCTTTTGACAAATTTGGAGTTTGATTGCTCCTGTTTGTTCTTGCTGCATCCTTTTCAATACTGGCCAAAACAGTCTTGTAGGTTGACTGAAGACTGAGGATATACTTGTCTAAACTAACAGAACTTGCTCTGTAATGTAGCGATTCATATATGTTTTACTAATACTTATTCGGATCCTGGATGAAGGCAAAAGAGGACTAGAAGTTCCTTGTTTTGAATTTATTCTACATACAGTGTAGCCATCAACCAAAGAACCACACACGCACTTTACAGTATTCATAATTACTACATGGTAGTTCATAACCTGCCACGGGTGACTTGAATGGGGATTTCAAGACAAAAATAACGTTATATATGAATGGACACTCCCATTCTTATCATAGCGTTATGGAAGTTCAACAGTTCTTCCACTGAAAAAGTTGAAGAAAAGCAAACAAGGAACATAGTTTCAGCCTCAGTCCTTGCCTGCAGGTTTCCACATTCAGTTTCCACTTCGTCTTGTATAACTCTCTGCTTACTTGGGGTCAGAGAAGGAGAGTGTTACTGTTTAATGTAATGTTCTCACTCATTGAACTTCTGAGACATATATTTGTCTCAGGTGAATTTATGTAGGTCAGGGGCTTGAGCTTCAGAAATACCCTCTGCCTGTGGCGGGAGTTTGACAGGCTAATAGGGAGAAGTCATCGTTTCTCAAGATCCCTGCATTTTATCTGTGCCAAGAAATTGGTTCAAACCTAATTAGGTAAAAGATAAACAGGGACTATGGTTTATAAAGTTCTTAAAAAAAAAAAATAGAATAACCCGATGCACCAGTACACGCTGGGGGCTGACCAGTATGTGGACTAGGCCAGAGGTCCCTTCCAACCTCAACTGTCCTGTGATTCTGTGATTTTCAAGCTGGCCGGGTGTGATCCAGCTCAGTTCCAGCACAGCAAATCTAAATCTGTGGGTTGCTTCAGATCTGATCATGCTGCTTTACAGATGCAAGCTTTTATGTATACCTGTATTTATCAGCTTAAGGACCAAACACTGCTACCCACTCTGTACTTCATTGGCTGATTATTGTATGCGAGTAACTTTCGTAGCTGCCAGATTTCTTTATAGCCTAAGATATTTCTCTTGCACTATTCCTAAAATCTAAAGTGTTTTGTCTGTATAACAGGTGGCTTTCAAACATTTTAAATGTTAGACACAGTATTCAATCAATAGCTGAAGCGAAGTGTGGTATTTTTAGTGTCCAGTAGTTGTATGCTTTTAAAAGATGTTACTGATTATTTTTAAGAGTTTATTTCTAATAATTTCCCATAATTTCTCATTCTGAAGAGTTTACTCTTACAACTTTATGTATGTTTGATGTTTTTGTTATCTGTGAGGGTTTTTTTCCTTTAAATGATTTCCATTGCTGCGAGTTCTTTGTTAGGCTCTAGTTAGGTCTTTTTCTTGCTTGTTTTTTTTCTTGTCCTGTGGTTTCCATTCCATGGTAGTGATTCTTAACAGCAGAAAGGTGTTCTTTCATTACCTTCTGGAAAAGTAATTCATGCTCAAAATACAGTTAAAAAAAATGAAAAGGGACAATAGAGGGGAAAGAAGTCATTGTATGTATGGATTCAATCACTGTTAGTTTGTCTACAAACTATGAAATCTTACCTCAGGCTGTAAGAGATGACTGTTTTAAGTTCAGGTACCTCAAGTGTCTTTTTAGTCACAGTAATGAAGTGAACTTGTTCTGTAATTGCCCTCCAGAAGGTGTGTAGTCCAGGTCAATGGCGACATACAATTGCCTTATTTGTCCAAAGGATCTGCAGAAGTTTTTTCCAGTGGCTTATTATGCAAACATTACTGCTTCAGTGACACCTTACTTTGAGAAGCAGATGAGATGAGTCAAATGTGAATGTCTACTTGCTTTCTGCAAGACTTCATGAACTGAATACTTTCCCGTTCACCACACATGATTGTCCTGGTTTTGGCTGGGATAGAGTTAATTTTCTTCCTAGTAGCTGGTATAGTGCTGTGGTTTGGATTTAGGATGAGAATAACCTTGATAACACACTGATGTTTTAGTTGTTGCTAAGCAGTGCTTACACTGGTCAAGGACTTTTCAGCTTCCCATGCCCTGCCAACGAGAAGCTGGGAGGGAGCACAGCCAGGACAGCTGACCCAGACTGGCCAATGGGCTATTCCATACTGTATGATGTCATGCCCAGTATAGAAACTGGGGGGAATTGGCCAGGGGGCAGCTCGGGAACTGGCTGGGCATTGGTCGGAGGGTGGTGAGCAATTGCATTGTGCATCACTTGTTTTGTATATTCTTTTATCATCATCATTATTATTATTTTCCCTTCCTTTTCTGTCCTATTAAGCTGTCTTTA